AAGTACCTTTATTATTTCAAAAGATCAATGTACAATCACTGTACTTACTCTTACATGGCATTAAAGGTAAAGGTGTAGAACTGATACATATGTTGATTTTCTAAACCTCTAAGGAGTCTTTATTTTCCACAATGGCAAACTTTCTAAGTTGAAAAACATATATCATTAATATATACTCAGGATCTCTTTTCTGAGGTCTCAGCTACTATCTATTTCTTCAAATGCCTTGAAAATCACAAATTTATAAGGGCTTGGTTGGATGTTTTTGTCATCTAACTCTATCTTAAAATTTTCAATGATAGTATCATTTAACAAATACAAACCCTACCACCCAAAGGTCAAAAGGCTTCTGAATCGTGGAGTAGAGAACAGACTTTGTTGCTGGAGAGGTTATGGCTTGAACTAAATCAATACATTAAAAATAAAGACCCGTGTTCCGTGCTTTTAATCTGAGCCGAACTTCACATAATAACAAAAGCAGGCATTTTAAACATACAAAGCTTAATTAACCCGATTTTCATCCAAATGAATGAATATGCATATAGATAAATTTTTACTTGAGATTTCCCAGGATACATTTCTTATTCCAACATGACTGTTGATCAAACACCACCTTTAGAGAATACCTACTCTGTGTTCATCTGTCAAAGGCTGACTTTTTCTCTGCATTCTTATTCCTCATTTGTTTGTTAATTAATCCAACAAATGTTACTCAGAGCCAGCTATGTGCCCAAGGGCTAGTCTAGGTACTGAAGACACGGTTGGAATAAGACAGCCAAGGCACTCTTCTCGTGGATTGTACTTTCCACCCTGGAGGTGGAGCGGCGGGGGGAAGCAGGGTTGAACGACAATAAACAGAAACTATGATTTCAGGTAGTGGTAGCTCAATTGAGAGAGCACAGTGAAATAGACTTGGAGGATCACTTTAGATGGGTGATAAGGAAAGACCTCTCTGAGCAGGCGACTTATGCCCCAGATAGACAAGATGGCACCAGCCATGGAAAGAGCTGAGGGAACTACAAGTACCAAGACCCTAAAATGGGGAAGAGGTTGGAGAATCCAAAGAACAGGAAAGGCAATGAACTTAGAACATCATCTGAATTGGAGGGACGTGTTTTGAGATGAGGCCTGATAGTAAGCAGAGGGCCCGTCCCGGCCAAGGACTCAGGCTGCCACTTCAAGATTCGTTCTGACTTTGCCATCAGCACAGAATCAGCTTGTGGAACAAAGGTTAGTGCTGTCTCAGATACACATATTATTGGCACCACCATACCTCCTCTTTCATGTACCTGAACCATCCCTCAAGTGCTCATCCCTTGAGTTTTTACCTCCTACATGGCTCACCTGGTCTTTAGACCCTCTTCCTTGCTCATTTTTTCACTGCTTGTCTTACAGACTCATGGGCCTGCTGCCTGGTCTCTGACCTGACACTTGTTCTGATCCTCACGATTGGTTTAGGCCTGGAGTGTACATAACCTCCATATATTTGACCTCAGGTATAACCTGACTGCCCCACCTCCCACCTCCAACTCCCTACTAATCCCAAATGACCTTTACTGTTTCCTTACTTGGCCAGACACTAACACTGCTTTCTGCTATGCTACTACTTTTCTAAGTATGTACAGTGTTTTAAACTTCCAAAACCACTTCATATCCTTTAAGCACTCTCTTGTTTGTGTCAACAATCTCTATGAAGTAAATATATAATTATCATCACTTAATTTTAAAGATGAGAAACTCCAAAGTTGAATAGTTTAGATAACTTTCCTAAGGTAAGCTCACAACAGGACTGGCCTGAGAACCCAGGAATACTGCTTTCCCATTTCCATCCTGTTCTGGAGGTGAGGGAAATCTTGTCCACTCAGGGTATTAGAGTCTTGAGAGAGTCAGTCCACAGACGGTCTGCTTATGATATTGGATTTGAAGGCCAGGCACAAAGGAATTTAGGAGGTGAATAGAAAGGATTCCCTTCTCCTCAACTTTTTTCATATTTGTATATTTGAGTTCACTTTTGTTGTGACATTTGTTTATGACAAATGTTTGTTCCCAGACAACATTTTCAGTGCTATATATGAACTCAACCATAGTGTAGAGATAGATTAGTATGACTTTATTACCAATTAAAGAGAGGAAAAAAGGGAATAAGTAACTTGTTTAATTGGTGACTTTTGGAAAAAAGAACTGAGCATATTCAGCTGAGCTGCTCTAGGTTTTCATCTTTGGCTCTGCCTAACCCCAAAGATCATGGTTGTATGTAAGAAGTATCACTTTTTGGATGTAGGACAGCATATATAACTCCCATTTTAAAAGCTCAGTGTTCTGTGGTCTCATTTTCAAATATGTAATTTCAAATAACCATGTTGTCAAAAATTCAATGCTGCGCTCTAGAGCCCAAGAACCACAACTACTGAGCCCACACGTGTAGAGCATGTGCTCCGCGACAAGAGAAGCCACCACAATGAGAAGGCTGAGCACCGCAATGACGAGTAGCCCCTGCTCACCACAATGCCGAGTAGCCCCTGCTCACCACAACTAGAGAAAGCCCAGAAAAAGAAAAATTAAAAAAAAAAAAATTCAATGCACTATTTCTTTTTAAATCAGCATTTCAGATAAACCCAAACAAGAGAGCCTCTCAGAGAAAATAACAGAAAAACTTTTCCTTATCAGTTCAATGTTAATCAAGTCTCATAAATAACACTCTTAAAATAAATGGGAAAGTGCTAAAAGAGATGAAAAACTCTCAGGGGTCTTTCATCCTTCTAAGGCAGCTCAATTATATTCATTGTAGCTTGTGGTATGTGGTAGTTTAGAATAGAATGCTTTTCACACCATTCTTTAAGGATCTAAGAGATTCTAGCTGTTTTTGTTAAAAATTCATGACCCTGGGACTTCCCTGGCGGCGCAGTGGTTAAGAATCCGTCTGCCAAGGCAGGGGACACGGGTTTGAGCCCTTGTCCGGGAAGATCCCACATGCTGCGGAGCAACTAAGCCCACGCACACAACTACTGACCCTGCGCTCTAGGACCTTTAAGCCACAGCTACTGAGCCTGGGCACCACAACTACTGAAGCCCACGTGCCTAGAGCCTGTGCTCGGCAACAAGAGAAGTACCTTTATTGAATGTACTGCTCAAAACAACGAGCAGTTGTTTTGAGAAGCCCGCACCGCAAAGAAGAGTAGCCCCCGCACGCCACAACTGGAGAAAGTTTGCACGCAGCAAGAAAGACCCAACACAGCCAAAAAATAAATTAATAATAATAAAAAAAAATTCATGACCCTTTTCCAAGAGAACTGTTTTGACCTGTTACTTCTGGCTAAATTTTTAGGAGTTCTTTTTCCCTACTCATTCCTGCACATAATAAGTCAGGGAAATAGACTTTAATAGCTATCAACCTAATTGAGGTATAACTAAAGTTGTTAAACAAAAACAACAATATGCAATTTGGGGTAAAACACAAATTCACTTAAAAGTGAATATTATACAGAGCAAATGCAGTAAGTTTTGAAGGATAGGTTGCCCCTAACTTACCATTTAGTGGACTGGAAGCAGCAATTCACAGCTGAAAAGACTTAGTAAATTATAATACAGTTAATCTACATAAACTCAAAACTTTCCAAATAGCTTATTCCAACATGACTGTTGATCAAACACCACCTTTAGAGAATACCTACTCTGTGTTCATCTGTCAAAGGCTGACTTTTTCTTCTATCTTCCCTAGTTTGTTTCCAGATAGACATTTAATACTGGGTAAACATTATGTAGCCATAGATTCAACAGAAGACCTGGCCTTTCCTCCACCACCCCTACCTCTCACCTCTCCAGGCAACTTTGGCACAGGTTGGGAACACCTGTGGGGGACTTGTGCATTAATAGGGTGCACTCTGAACTACTACCTGCCACGTGGTAAGCTTGCTGAGAGAAGGCTCTGTCCTTGATGGGGAAGTTTCTGGATTGTTCAACTTTGTCCATGATGGGTGGGTGAGCTTCATTCAGGGGTGAAATATTAGGAATACCACTATGACGACACATCTAAGCTACCACTTTTCTTGGCAATAAAGCTGCTTTTTAAAAAAAAATCTCCACCTGGGAAATACTGAAATCTCTCTCTCAAGGTATTTTCTTATATGCACCCAGATATCTCAAGGATGATTTGACAATTCTAGTATGTCACTATCCTTATCGTCGTTTATGAAAAATGATACTTTATATTTTTTTCAGAAAGATAAGAAAACATACAAAGATCATAAAGAAGATAAGTGAGTGTAAACAAACAGATAATACCTGAAGAATAAAAGCAACTGCACATATATATTTTATGTAAAAATGTGATACTTGATAGAGAAATTCGCATTTAAAATTTACACCTTACTGTTTTCACTGAAAACTTTAAAGGTATGGGAAAAAGCCATATTCATTGATCGAAAATATAAAGAAAACATTTATGCTTTTGTGTAAAATAAATTACATGTATAGACTCCTAGCCTGAAATCACATTATCATTTTATTGGGTTGTCCTGGGGTGTAAGTGCACGAGTGTGTCCGTATGTGTGTAAAGTAGTATGCAACTGAGACTACAGCAAGACGGTGCCAAAATAACTGGCTGAAAAGCAAAAAAATTCAATCATGACAGTTTTACTTACATGTTTCCCCTGATTAGTTGATTTGTCTTGGCATTTTGTATGCATTCATTAAATTGTTGTAAACAAAGGCATAGTATTATAATGACATTCAAATCAATAACTTTTGGTGTTTACAACACAAAATCAAAAATATTTAAAATTTAGACTAAAATCAACCAATTTCATCTCAGAAAAAGTTTTCCTGCCTTCTGCAAATGCTTACTATAGAAAAACAGCATTCAGAAACTATACTTCATATAATTTCAAATATATATATATATATATGCATATATATAAATGCACACACTCACATACAATCTATATATAAAAGATATATATCCTCTTCCCCTGCCACATGCCCCAAATCCCCAATCTTATTACCTGTTTTTGAGCAGTACACTGAAGGTCGTCTTATCCAGTCCCAGATAATTTGGCAGCAAGTTTGACCAATTCCAGTTCCATTTTGTGATAGCTGACTGTTGATAAATGAGAAGACGCTATTGTTAGTTATTAATCAGAGTTAATATGATCAGTAAATTAAAGCTCCAGCTGTGATAGACTAACTAAGAAGGAGGGGGGTCCAGAACAAGGACTTAGACAGATAACATCAATCATGTCCACAGAATAAGGTTTTTATTCCAATAAGACAGCAATTAATTTATAAATCCATTTGGGGATGTAGTCATTATTTATAAAAATATAAATCAATTTCTTGAGTCGTTATTCTTCCAAGAGCTAATGAAATTTGCCCAACAAGTTTCTCTGAAAGGGTGACTCTGTAGAGCAAAGCAAAATAATTGGCAACTTTTTCATGTATCAATTTATAGTTTTTTGGGGTTTTTTTAGCACCCAGAAGTTTGATTAAAAAAACAAAGATGGAAGTACTATGGTTCAAATTACAAGACACAGCTTAATTAGAGTAGGATATTAATGTTTTTGGTTAAAAATCGGCTTTAAAGGGGAAATTATAAGGACCTGTAAATAACATAAGTAATTCTTTTTTTCTCATTTAATAGATAATTTCACAACAGAGTAAGGAGAAAAATTACTGTGAAAGATAATCTCATAATTCAGAACTGAATACAACATACCATTTATTTAAATGAAGTGAGGATAATTTAACAGCTACAATGATTATTTATGGCTGGAGGAATCTAATGTACAACACAGGAAGGCAGCCAATAAACTCAAACTTATACAATATATTTGGTTTTAAAGTATTATAGATGCTTATACCCCTTAACACTAAATAGTTTTGGTAACAAGCATCTAGGCCAGTGTTTAAAATCCAACAAGAACTATGCCCTGTCACCTGCTGATTAATGGAGCACTACAATCCTGTCATAGAGCAGGAGAATTCTGCCCCGGGTTGTCAGCATTTGAAGGTCTTATTCTACTACAGTATTGATGAATGTAGACTAGGGTTGTAACAGGCATGGTAAAAATATTATCTGCATCCCGAATTAGGCCATTGTTTTAATTCTTATTTTCATCAGAGCTCTAGGTCAAGCAATCCTTCTCTTCTGCCCTGTTAGTTCAAATAGTCTGTCAGGAGGCTACTGGGAAAAGGGACCAAAAAAAAGAACAAAGCAAAAGCAACTTTAGGTTTCAAGTCCTTTGGAATAAAGATGATCTTTTTAATGTGACTATGAAACATGCAGCTGAAACAATGGCATTATCTGACATTAAAAAATGTGTGGTGTTTATCACACTGACTTTATTCCAAACATCCTGACTTTAAGATCGTTAACAAATTCATTTTAAATTCAGGAATGTGCTTAGGGTTATAAAACAGCAAATTTACCTCATGCCACTTAAAATAGGAGCTCAAAGCCCTATTTACAATCAATTTTAAACTATTTTATAGTTTACCTGATAAATTAGGTAAATTCATAAAGATTGCAAGGTGTTTTGTGAGTGTGTGTATTGGGAGATGGGGGAAGCCAGGGAGGGGAAGACTGTAAGAAACACGGGGTTTCTCGAGGCTGCCGGAGACACAGCCGAACAGATGCTCCCTCTGCCCACAGTGAACCGACTGGGGCAAAAGTCAAAGTTTACAGACCAAACATATGAATCCGTTTGACAAATAGAAAGAAGGTAAAATAACTTTTCCCAAGTCAATTTGCACAAACAAGAACAAGGCCTTTTGCTTCCTAGCCAAAGAAGCTTAGGAGTAAATACTCAAACACAAAGCACTTTTTTTCTAACTTGTGTAAAAACAACTCTACAAATTTTAATTAAATTTACTATTTAATTTCCACATACCTGATCAAGCATGTTTTCGCTAAACACCTTGTACACATGGAAAGGGTTAAAGGCAGAGGGCTGATCTTCCACACTCCTCAAGGTCATCTTTAAAGGTTGAATGCGAAATGGCTTTTCCTCTGAACCATTCATAGAAAACAGCTGTTCTTTTAAATGCTCCTTCAAGGGAAAAAAATTACAAGTCGTGATGGTAGGAAGCATATATTCTCTTTAAGAATAAACTGGTCAATATCCAAACCTACCCTTTCAGCACATTTGCTACATTACACAGTATTATTTGCCTCAGGACAGAATACATTTTCAGAAGAAACATAGCAGAGTACATACCCATCAGGATTACAATAAACCCATCAAAAACAGGTTCACCTAATATATAGGATAGATTAGAAAGCCATTTAACAAGTTCTCACATAATGAATGTATGCTTGATATATCAGAATCTGTTTAATAGGCATTGTCTTGTCATTTCTTCACATGTTAACATGTCTGGTTACCAAAACTTAACTCGGGTGCATGACTATTCACAGTACATGACTGTTCATTCATTCATTAAGTGTAGTTGCTACCTACTCCGTGCTCAGCAGAGAACTAAGTACTCCGATAGTTCCCTGCAAGCAGTCTCCCTCTATGTAGAATTAATTATAATGCAAGCTCCTAAACTCTAGTTTCACACTGTGGACTGAAAAATATCAAGGTTCAATAGAAGCTCAAAGTATGTAATTTTAATTCTACCCCCAAATGCCAGTGACAACCTGGGGAGGAAAAGAAAAAGTCAATCTACTGCATTATACCTCATTTTCCATCCATAAATAAAAAGGTGAATAACCATAATCTACTTCATAAGACTCCTTCTGGAAAACGATACATTTAAATGACTAAAAGTTTCCCTCAAACTATCAAATACTTAATAAGTCACTTAATAAATAATATAACAGAAATGTCCTCCTGATTTTTAGTGTGTCACAATATAATGTTTTCTTCAAGGTTAGGGTTAGGACTTAGGGTCAGAAAGTTAGAGCTGAAAATGACTTCAGAGGTCATCTTGAAAACCCTTACTTCTCAAAGTCCGGTGTGTGGGTCAGCCAAATGAGCCTCACCCAGGAGCGTGTTAGAAAAGCAGAATCTCAGGCCCAACCAAATGAGAATCTGCCTGTTCACAAGCTTTCCCAGGAGATGAGTAGGCACGTGAAAGTCTGAGAAACTCTAGCCCACACTACATTCAGTGGTTGGCTCTGAAAGGTCAGATGACAAACCTGAGGTCACACACGGGAGCTTGGAAGCCTCAGTAAGAAGCCAGACCTCTGGTCTCAGGTCACTGTGTTTTCCCTGTGCCTCTGTAACTTCATGAATAGAGAACCCCTGCTGTACTCACTGTAGAAGGCAAATTTCAGATCCTAAAACCCTCCATCTCGCAATAAAAAACACTGCTTGACATTTCTTAAACCTGCTCATTGTGGACCATATCTTTTTTAGAATGATTAATTCTGTAGCATCCGACAGACACACAGACACACACGGACTCTTATTAAATATTATTAGATAACAATAAAGCCATCAGAAAAGTATATTAGATTTAGATTTTTGAACAGAAACAATTTTTCTCCATCATGATTTCTGAAAGTAAAAATTTAAAAAGGAATAAATTATTCCCCTTTCATTGAAAAACTGCTTTGTTTTGGCTAATAACAATCGTTCTCACTGTTTCCCCTTACGTGGCTATGTTTTGGCTTTTTTTGTTTCCACAATTCAGAAAAGAGAAAGTGCTCTGTTCTGTTGCAAGCTGTGAACACAATGGTGTTTTCTCCCTTGTGGATTTCTCTGACCTCTGTGCTATATTGACACTTGTCACTACCCCTTCTCAAAAGCCTCAGATTTTCTGTGGCATCACTTTAACCAGACGTACTGCTAATGTGGTCTTTCTTTAGAAGAAATACATTTTTCTTTGAACATCCTTTCCTGAACATATTCCCTGTGCCGTTACATCAGAGCTTATTCCTCTACCCATCGCTTCTCTGTTGCTCTCCACTGAAGAGATACACTGGCCTCATGAGCTCAACTACCATCCTAGTTGAAAGCCACCAAATCTAGTCACAGCCTCTTGTATCTGTGCTTCTGGCCAGCATCTTCAACCACCATTTGGACTTTTATGCTCGGACACCTTACCTTTATCTCAAACATTTAAAATCTCATCTTCTCTCAAAACTTCCCTGTCTCTCAATAGCACACCCATGCTTCCACTCACCCAGGCCTGTACGTGTAAATGCTCTGTATTTATGTTTTCGAACACAATTTAGCAGCACACCTGAAAGTGCTAAAGACATGACGCCACTCATCAAATGAACAAACGTCACGGTGCAATTTACCTACAGCATAACGATGCCTCACAGTATAAAAGCAGCCATAAGTATTATGCTAGTCACTCAGTCACCCTTGTGTTATTTGTGTTTACTGCCTGCTTTGTCTAAGTACTCAAGGCAGAGGCCTTGCTACTTTCGTTGATTCTATCCTCACCTTACATTATGCCTCTAACCTTGCAGCCTGCATTTCACACAGCACAATAAACCACCAAGCACTTAGCTTGCTTTCCCATCTGATAGATGTTGCCATAACAGTAAGTATATTCAGTTGCAGAGAAAGAAAAATCGTAACTTTGAATCAAAATGTGGTGATACTCCCGCAAAGAGTCTTACGTACATCAGCTCTCATAGGACACCTGTTCAGAAATGCTTCCTCAGAGTTCCACGAGTTCTACGAGAAAACAGCCTTTGGATTTCCTGAATACAACAGGTGGCCGATGGCCAGTAAATATCCAACTTGATTTTTGTTGATTTTGCTTACTGGTGATTTACTGATCTTTCTTGTGTTATGGAACTTTGAAAGAAAAGACTCCTCTATCAGTCTGGCAATCTATACCAGCCATTGTTGTGCTCAGAATTATTGTAAATCAACTTTACTAAGGCTCTGAGGGTACTCTGACTACAACATCTGTTCCTCTGTAACCACCACAGTTACTTTGGCCAATCTGGGTGGCCAGGTTGACATGCCCATGAAGACTCTGACTCCGTAATGGAGGTCTTTCAGTTTGCCAAGGCCGCGACCTCCTGCTTGCCTGAGATGGAAACCTCAAACAAGCTGTGAGAGATCATTAGCAAGCATGAACAGGTTGTGTTACTTTGTAACAATTGCTACTGAGCTCCAGTCCCTTAAGAACAGGACCTTGACTCATAGCTACAAAGGCCTCCATCCTTCTCAGGTGATCATTGAAGTTGACTGGTTGATTACCTCTCTGCAGGCCAGAAAACAAGATTTACTTGAAGTAACTTTCAGATAGATAATAGTGGGGAGAACATTTATGTAACTGAGTTGTAAAATCCTGTGGTAGAGTTAATTCACTCCTTGGAAATGTATGGTTTTTAAGGCCTGCCTCATGGAGATAAAACACTATATCTTAACATTATTCATATTATACAATTTTTATTATGCCAAAAAATACATTCATGTGTTTGCAAATATAAACATAATTCTAATTCACACTAGATGTCACATTCGAATCCAGATATGTATGATCAAATTAAAAACCTAAGTTAGCAGACTTGTATTGTTTCAAGTAATAACTGAGATACCTACTCTTTACATTTTTGCTAAAATAGCCAGATACATGCAAGGTCAGACGCTTAACCCAGCAGAGAGGTGAATAAGCATGACATTGGTTCTAATCAGTGTCCCTACATTAATGTACTTTCTTGGGTTAATCTAGTTGCTCCCAAATATGGTTCGATATTCTTCTGAAGTTTCTCATTAGGTAAGGAATCTTCAACTTCACCAACACGAGTATGACGTCTACAGGAGAAGAGCTATATCTCTCTTCAGAAAATTCTTCATTTCACAAATACCAGATTTTAACATCAGCTTAATGGTCACGAATACACAATTCCCATACTATACCTCTAGTCTCTACAATTCCGAACTGAGTACATGAACCGTGTTATTGTTTAAACCGTATAAATAAAACCGACATTGCTTCGGTGAAGCTTCTGCTGTACAAATGCAGAACAGCCGGGGCTGAATAGATTCTATTAATAATGCAATATTGAGTTTGGTATTGACTTTAAGAAGTATTATCACCTCCTTGACTAACCCTTAGCTGCCAGCAGACGCTGCCTCAGGCCAGTACACACCTAATTGCTCGGTAAAAAGGCCGTTTCCCTACCTCATTGAGCCGCATGATGTGATAAATTTGCCTCAGGTACTCGCTGCCACCTGGTTTGTGGCAGATATCCAGGACCATCATGTTTATTTTCTGCTCAGTCAGTTCAAGAGCAATATCTCCTTCTTCTAAGGCTGTGCTTTCCTCTATTGTCATAAATGCACTAAATACAAAGAAAGCATGTAAGTATCAGTGGTGAAGAACTGTAAAGACGGAAAATAATCAAAGAGATTGAGTGTGGAGAGTCGATGTAAATCTCGGATTCAAAGCACCTATAAAGACTTTGCTCAAATAGGTAAGCCTTCCCAAAAGGCTGCAGCTCACATAAACAGTGCCTTAGAACTGAGCACCTGAAAGCATTTTTAAAAATTGAATCGTTTCTTTTAAAACATTTCTTTATTGCATTTATACTCCTATCTATAAAACATTTCCCCATTACCACAACTGTTGAAATTGCTATAATCATGGGATGAAAACAAAACATTTCTTTTTAAAAACATGTAAGAAATAATCTGTATTTTCTCTTTGAGGATAAAGAGTATCTTTGATGCCAGAAATAGCTTTGGTATTCTGTCTTTTGCAGATTCCTCTTTACACCTGTCTCAGAACACATTAAAGACTAATTAAAGTGTCAAAAGGGGGAGCCTATTATGCTAAATATAGGCTGGGTGCTTCCTGCAGGAGTGCTGACCACTGGGTATTTTAAATTGGCCTTTTGACACTTGTTGCCTTCTAAAAATACATGCCCCCCTCCTGTTCCTTCTAGGTGACAGATAACTTAGCAAAAGTCACTACCCTGCTTATCCTTCCCGGAAAAGGGTCTATTATAACCACACCAGGAATGTGCAAGTTATATGTGGGAAAGGTTTCTTTTATGAGAACTCATATGCTTATTATTGATTTTAAACATTATTACATAGTAATAATGGATGACATAATTTTTAAAAAATTCTCAAGCTGTACCAGTGTAAAATTAATCACGATATTCAACTTACATCATATATATTCCATACTAATTTTCTTTTTACAAGTGCTATTAGGATCACGTTAGTCTTTGCAGTCTATGTATTCTTAAGAAAACACATGGGTTTCCACTGTTTCCCAGACTAAATGAAATTTACTGTGGTGTAATCAGCTATATACTGCAGTTCATTACTGAGATTTTGCCGTGATTATAAATTCATTCTGCTAAGAGTCAGTGCAGCTGACCTGAAGACTGAACCAAATGATACCCAGCTGCTGGACATTAACTGTTATATTGCTTCCACATGTAGCTTCAAAGCATCCTTCTCTAAAAAAAAACCAAAAAAAGAACTTTATTATCATATAAGCCTTGCTAAAAAATAAAGCAAATTCTACTCTTAAAGATATTTATTAGCTAGAGTAAATCTTTAAACAAACAAAAAAGACCTTTTTGCAATAAAGAAAAGTTTGTAAATATCTTTTTGAAGCTGCATGCAGGCTGCAAGCGAAATTTCTTGTCAGGTTTTGTAGAGGCTGACATGGAAAAAGTTGAGGCCCTCTGACAAAAGAGTGTCTCAGTGTCAGCCCCTGAATTGTATCCTTTCCTGTCCATCACTGTGCAGGTGAAGCAAATGATTGGATTCAGTCAATGCTATGATTAATGAGTTCCTCTCTGGATTTGGGACTGCCTATCAATCATGTCATTAGGGAGAATGTGCCCTGAAAGAGGCAGACCTTAGCCAAGGAATAACTGCATTAATCTTAATCTGTATATGCACCCAGCCAGCCAAGTCAGGGTCACCATGATGAAAAACAATGATCTTCAACTCGACAAATTACTTTGCAAAGACAGACGTTTCTTTACTTTTTGGCCTGTGTGTTCTCCAGAATCTAAGTTGACTGTTTACAGCTTGAGTGTTACTACAAAGTGAAGGTTATTTTAATGAATAGTAATGTTTTCAGGCGGCATGCAAGACAAGCAATGCTTACAGCTGCCACCTTTCCACTGCAGTTATTTTCAGAGTTTCCATAAAATCAAAATTAAATCTGGGTGCAAGTGAAAGAAATCTAGCTAAATGATATTGTGTAGTTACAAGATAATCTTCATGAGGAATTAAGATTTCATTTATTTTAACAGAAGAACGATTTTAAGTGCTTACATTCTCATACTTGAAAAAAAAAATTATGGTAGAGCAAAGGCAACCCTCCACCTGTATACAGACATCATGGTTTAAAATACATTTTCCTCATGGTATAGATCTATGAACTAAATGATCATCAATCTGTGAGAAATGCGTAGAGACGGAAGTTCATGTGTATATCAGATAATCAACTTGAAATCAAACTCGAGATGAAACATTCCTATAGCACCCAAATCCATAAGAGATTCCCTAAAGTGAGTTAAGAAGTCAAATTTAACTCTTTGTCAAATAAATGAAATAACTTTAAATCTGGATTTTTGTACATTGATATTATTTGAGAAATTGAGAAAGACATAGGTAGCACTGTGCTAATTACAAATTACATAATATGTATTCAGAAGCTTTGAGGGCTATTAAAACGTTTTTAAAAATCAATAATTCTTTATTTTGGATGCATGTTACAACAGATAGCTAATCAGCCAAATATTAGCTGACAATTTCCTACTAAAGGAGATAACCAGATGTGTTAGTGCTGTTTATAAGAAACTTAGACGAAAATGAACTTTTAAGGAAAAATTTTTCTCATGGATTCCTGTAGCCCCAGGTATATTACAGACATTACTTTAAACTGATCTTATAGATAGAGGGGGTCCTAATTCAGCAGTATCATAAATTTAACTTTATAATCAGATCCACTATTTTTACTCTGCTTTTTTCTCTCCCTTTTACACCCACTGCTATGGATAATGACGTGGCCTTAATCTTTTAGTCTTTGAATTAAAGCCTGTAAATTGGTATCAAATGCAAATGTAAAGATTAAGGTCACTGTCAACGTTACTAAGCATTTTCCTGACTGCTATTATTCCTACACACAGGATGCTCACAAGTAAATTTCTAGGAGTCGTATGACAAGAACAGGAAAATCATGATTACTTACATTTCTTACATTACTTACGTGACTACTTATATTAATTTGGATTAATATAAAGTCTTACAGATTAATATAAACCACTGAAGAGTATTTGTTATCACACTACTAACCAGTGAGTGCAACATATTTTAATGGTTTATAAATAACAAATGCTCACTAGTTCTAAGCTCGATGTTAAGAACTTTACAAACGTTATTTAATTTTTCAAAACAACTCTACCAGCTTAGTATCATCACTAAAAATGAGGTTTTGAGAGATTCTGTAACTTGCACAGATGGCCCACTTACAAGGGATTTGTATTTGTCCATCTGATTCCAGAGCCTGTGCTCTTTATCACTACCACGTACTAAAAGTAACAACTTTTAGTTGTTTCAGGCAGAAAGTTATAATAGTATCTTCTAGCAATATGAATATATTTTCAAAGAATGGGGGACCGTGTGTGTGAGAGTGTAGAAAAAGGAGGGGCTGGCTTAGTGAACTGTAGACCACATGAACCGTAACTCCCTTATCAATATCATGCAATTCTATACTGAAGACTACTTTTAAGTAGGACTCTATGTACATATTTAAATTCATCAGGGACCCTTAAAAATCTTCGCAATACCACAAATCACTTAGCTCTTGGTGACAAACCTATGAGAAGGCTGACATTTTCATACAGAAACAGCTGGGTGTGTTTATAGCTTGAGTGTGATATGCCCCAGTTGCCTTCTGGGATTCTTACATTACCAGATGAAAAATGTGTACCTTTTTGACAATCAGGTACACAGAAAGCAATAAAGAGCCTTTTATATCCATTAATTCCTTCTTAATTTAATCTCCATGGCCAATCCATTTACAAAACGCTCCAGGCTATCCACTAGATACCTGTTTGCACACTGAAAAGGAGTGAAACCAAATTCTCCTGGGTTTAACTACCACCCTTTTAATCAGAAACCTTAAGATGGTGACTAAACAAGTATAATGTTCCAGTGTATCAATGGGGTTCAAATTCTAATAAGACAAGGAACATTAACAATCCAGTTTTTAATGGAATATTTATCTTTTTCTCTATTCATCAAAGTTCCCATGACGCTAGCAAAATGACCATTGCTGCCTATCCAACAATATTTGGTTGTGGTGGTTGTTTATTGGTGATTTTGCTTTTGTGAATGTATTTGATGAAATTCAGTGAAAGAAAAACATCACTTTACCATTCGGTGCTCAGTTTCCTTGCTTTCAACAATTGGCATTCAATCCAGTTGGGTTTTTGCTGCTCAATGCTCCGTATGACCTTCTGGGTCATTTGATTAGGGCTACTTGTCTGCTCTCCCATGATGCTTTCCAAACACACACAGATTAAACTGAGTTTCTCTTTACTCCATCTGTCAAGGGAGGCACCTGTTAAAAGTTCCACAGTGTTTCCATCCTCAAATATCCGACATATAATTACAATCAAGTTCCAGACAAGCAGGCCAGCTTTCTTTAATTCAACAAAGTTTTTTGACATTTTTCTCTCAGCCAGAAAAAAGAAGTATTTAACTGGGGGAGGCAAACATGCAATCACCGTAGGTAACTTGCTGATTACAATAGATACTGCCTGAGCAGCAAGCCTTGTGAAGCCTGGGGAAGAAAAGAAAGAAAAGGTATGATTAATATTAGCATTTGTGTTCCATCACTGTGTTGCTCTGAGTGTTGTGTGGGGATGTCTAATTTTTGCGGAGAAAATTGTTGAGAAGAGCAAGTTCCTGACATATTCCGACAGGACTCTACTGGGGTCCTCTGTAGTACTGCCAAAAATTCCCCAAATCCCAAACTTAATTTTTCCTCCCACAAATGAAAATTAGAAAATTCAGAATTATTACTTATATTTTTATCTACTAAGACCTCAGGTTTAAAGGGCCCAATGTCCTTCTAATTAGTAAATGCAAAGGTACTCCTGCCGGACCTCTCTGTGGCCTTTGGCACTTCCTTAAGCCTTTCTCCTCTTCCCCTGGAAACCATGACAGAATCATTCCAGCTCTTGTTGGGACTGGCTCCTCTTCTTTTAGTTCTTAGCCCAAATGTCACCTCCTCTGAGAGCCTCCCCCCACCATCCCATGTAAAGCAGTCCCTTCATGCCCTTCTCAGGCCAGCCCCCAGTCCCTCCCTATTATTAGACCCCATTTTATTGCCTTTATTATAGCACTTAGCATCAGTTAATAATAATCTCCTGGGCTTCCCTGGTGGCACAAGGGTTGAGAGTCCGCCTGACGATGCGGGGGACGCAGGTTTGTGCCCCGGTCCGGGAAGATCCCACATGCCGTGGAGCGGCTAGGCCTGTGAGCCATGGCCGCTGAGCCTGCGCGTCCGGAGCCTGTGCTCCGCGACGGGAGAGGCCACAGCAGTGAGAGGCCCGCGTAACGCAAAAAAAAAAAAAAAGGAAAGAAAAAAAAATTATAATCTCCTTTATTTCTTCATTATCTGTCTCCATCCACTAGAATATAAGCTCCAGGAAGGCATTCCTGTAGCCCAAGCACTTAGGACCTCATCTATAACAGTTGTTCAGTAAGTATTCGTTGAATAAATGAGTCAACAAACTGGTTCATGTTTACCTCTATTATTCTGCTTCTTTGTGTCCCACGCTAGTTCCACTTCTACTAACACCTCTTAAATGTATTTGCTAAGTCCTTGGCCTGTTGACTGTAGATTCTACTCTCCCTTACTTGGTATTATTTCTCTGAAGGATTTACTGATCTTCCCTCTCTAGATCAGGGTTTCTCAACTTTGGCACTATTGACATTTGGGGCTGGAGAATTCTTTATTGTAAGGAGCCGACCTGTGCATTGTAGGATGTTTTAGTGGCATCTCTGTCCTACACTCACTAGATGCCAGTGGCACCCTCATCAATTGCGACAAACAAAAATGTCTCTAAAGCATTGCCAAATGTCCCCATCTTCCTAGTTGAGAACCACTCTTCTAGATGATTCTAGAATCTTCAGTCTTGGCCTTTCTCCAGGGTAACAGTCCTACGACTTCAGCTCCCCGATGGGCATTCCACTTCTCTGTCCTAGTCATCATTAACTCAAACCATAGCTAAAACCAAATTCATTGTTTTCCTCCCAAACTACCTTGGCCCTCCTGACCCTCCCTCCCATCCTCTCTTCCTTCCTTCTCTTCTTCTGTCCTTCCTTCCTTTTCAATCTTGTAAACATTCCTGTTGATCCTTCATCCCACACCGGGGACTGCACTGATATATCTTCCTACTCCCTCATCTGACACCCAATTTTGCCTCACTGTGACCATGGCTACTACCTATTCAAGCCCTCCCTCACAAGTGGTATCTGGACTATTGTAGGACTCTCATCTCCCTGCTCCAGACCATGCCCAGCTGTAAAGCCAGATTACCTAATTTCTCTGCTACAATTCTTTTAGCTTTTAACAGTTTTCCACTGTTACGAGATCAGTCTGCAGAGCGTTGCTGACAAAACACTCCACAGTCCAGTCTCAGCCAGTTTCTATGAACCTTTATTTTATCCTCTTTGCTTTTAGCCTTCTGAATATCTCATTATTCTCACATAGGATGCCCTTCCTCTTCATGGGTCACTCATAATCTTCAATTCTTGGTTCAAAGTCCTTGCCTCCTATGAATTTGTTTGAACATATTATCCATATGACTATGATGGTAATCAGGTCCATAACGTGCCATGTTGCACTCTCTTTTGTATTATCATCTATTACTGTTTATGTTATATTCTTATTTTTTTAACAGCTTTATTGGAGTATAATTGCTTTACAATGGTATGTTAGTTTCTGCTTTATCACAGAGTGAATCAGCTATACATATACATATATCCCCATATCTCCTCCCTCTTGCCTCTCCCTCCCACCGTCCCTATTCCACCCTCTAGGTGGTCACAAAACACCGAGCTGATCTCTCTGTACTACGTGGCTGCTTCCCACTAGCTATCTATTTTACATTTGGTAGTATACATAAGCCCATGCCACTCTCTCACTTCGTCCCAGCTTACCCTTCCCCCTCCCCGTGTCCTCATATTCATGAGTTGTCTTTACAAGGAGACTAAAAGCTCCTCAAGAGCATGGAAGAAAATCTCCTTACTCCTTGAGTATCCCACAAAGCCAGACACAAGTGTTTTAATCCACTATGTACATAATTGAATTTGAACACTGGAACGGAGCGAGAAGTCTAAAGAGGATAGCTTTAAGTTCTTCAGAAAAACATTTTTTACTGTTTTTACTGAACAAAAATAATTTAACACTGTGAATGATTTTTCAAGATATTTGTGACATTTAAAGAGGTCACTCTGCTCTATAAAAGTACAACGCTCTTGGAAAACATAGGTCTAGTCTAGTGACTCCTCAGAAATTCATGATAACTTAAGAATCATTTTCAAAATTAACTGGATCAGTCTCTATACATTTGTAAAAATTGGGTCCAAAATATATTTGAATGATCTCATAAGACTTTTGTATTAAATAAAATAATAAATATGAAAGCACCTAGTTCAATACTTGGTAAAAAATAGTTGCTCAGTAAATGTTTTCTTTTTATTCAAATAAATGTTTAGATGAGGCTTAAAATATAGATAAAGCAAATTAAGAAACCACTCTTCTCAGTGTTCTTAAAGTATCTTAAATGTTTTATTGTTTTTATGTGTTTGTGTCTCATATTCCCTAATCTGTTGTCAGGTATTTGACTTAAAAGATTATATCTTATATTCTGTTTATCCTAAAGAGGGCTTAACTGAACATAGTGAGTAAACATTTGACAATAATATAAGCAGATACCAGGTGAAGATTAGCAATTCTCTTCACAACTGTACTTCTACTGATATTTATAAAATCTGAGAATTGCAGGTACTGAAATCCCTAACTACTTTATTAAAGCTTAAGGCAAATTCCAATCAGAGCCTTTAGGCTGATGACAAATCCATTCTACTAATCACAGGGTCTCTGAGTCTATGGTGATGTTAACAACATACCAGGGAAGGATCTTTTAAAAATGTCACACACTCATTTTTCTGTCTTTATTTAAATAAGTTGACTTCTAACTCACATATATATAATATATTGTAAGAGCCATCCCAATTTCAGAGCTGATAAAGTGTGAAAAAATGTATGTCTCAGAATGAATGCAATGTGAGAGGTATATTTATATATTTATCATTTCTTCTTTCCTATGCATGGACTACTGATTGTAATAATATATTTGGGTGATTATAAAACATACAGAAAGGAAATTTACAATGAAATAGGTAAAGACAAATAATGTATTAAAATTAACTTTAAAAATGTTTTTTATTAGTGGTATAAAATGTCAATAATACATTATTGAGTGAGGATAATGTGATTTAATATGCTTTATTATTTTAAAAATCTGGACTTCAACAGTTCATGATACATTGATTCAAATGTCAGGTTATAAATTTAGTTTGTTTCAATACTTGATTTTAATGGATGTCATAGGTGAAAAAGCCATGACATGGACTATATACGTAGACCCACATGGAACTTGTGAAATCATGGCACTCATTTTTCAATCTCAACCACCAAATAGGCAAAGGTTGTTGTTGAAATTTGAATAATAAATATTCATCATCATTATGTTAATCAGTTGTTCTTGCAAATAAATTGAAATATATTTCATTTTCGTATTTTTAAGAAGTGTTCAAAAATAACCAAAACTCTTATTTGGAATATTTGAACCATGTTAAAAAATTCTAAGTTCTTAAGTGTGCAGCTATGCCATTTTTGTGGGTGATACTGGTTTTTATAAAACGAATATTTCTGGTTTTTATAAAATAAAATATCTCAAGAACTTCTGATAACACTCTGTGTATTTCTGCCATCAGTTTCTTTCTCAACAATCCACATGTGAATGGTGCCTTGAATACATTTTCCTTGTGGTGTTACCTCTGTTTCCTCTCCAGAATCCATTGTTTTAGTTAAAACAATGACTCCAGAGTTTCCCCATAAAGTATTCTTTTTATTTAAAAAGTTATTTACTGGTAAGAAAATATATTTTCTGGTATATCTTTCCTTTAATTGTTGTCGAAGAAACAAAACAACTAGTTGTGTATTTGCTCTTAGGGAGCAAATTCTTTGTGTATTTGCTTCGGGAGCAAATACCTAAGCTGAGCTATATCAGAAACATCTGAACGTCCATTCAGTTCTCTGGTAAATCTCTTACACTGTATAATTTATTGTTTATTTCTTCAAATCTTCAGTGTTTTCTATGTATTTGCTGACAAAAAATAAAGAAATACATTTTAGTTTGTCACCATAGTGTTTTCCATGTTCCGTTATTTTCACTGTGTCAGGAAGGACAATTTTTTCTTTAAGCTAGTGACTATTTGTCTTTTATTAAGTTAGAATCCTCAAAAAAATAAAAAGGCCTCTAAACACTTCATTATTTAGATGAATTGTGCAAAGTACGGAATTAAATATCAATTGACTTAAAACATTGCTGAAAATGATTACTGAGGTTTATCTTCATGTTTTGGATGCTTAGTCTTGAAATCTCTGGCTAATCAAGATGACTTCAAACTAGCTCTAGCTAGATATCCCTAACTATCTCAAGCACAATACTCATTTAGGAGGGATTCGTGTTTTAACAACAATGTATGGGAAGCCATGGTTCAAATGGTTTTCCCACACATTTCCCATTTTAATTTTTTTATTTTATTTTATTTTTGGCCAAATCTGATCAGACTATCAATGTTCTACCTTATAATATGGCTGAGAAACAGCTCATGTTAGAAATATTCCCAAGTGTGAGCTTTTTTACTTTGTCATTGTTTGCTCTCCCTTGGATTCCCAGTAATAGTTTTAAACCGCGGTTGATTTGTTGATTTACAGGAATATGTTAAAGCCACTTGTGTGTTTTGTGAGGATTAATTTTGTTAAAACTAAATTCTGAAATACAAAGGACAACCTTAATTGATTACTGAACGCTGAAAGCTAATGAAGGAGTAAGGTTACCCTGTTCATGCCCTTCCCAACAATACTGTCCCCAGCACACGACTGGCTCACTCACAGACCAAGGGAGAGTTCCAGTGACACCCCATACGAAATTTCAGTAGTTTTACTTTCTTTCTTCTCAACTCCTGTACAACCCCTGAGGTGTTTGCACCCATTTGTAAACATTTATACTAGTCTTCAAGCACCAAGAGGGGATATCTTATTTACAGTTTATTCCTGGACCAACCCCAGTACCTGGTATTTAGTAGTAACTGACTTAGTAGGTATCTACTGAATGAATAAGTGACTTAGTGTCTGACATGTACATATTATCTATCTTATACACTGTAGTGAAAATAAAGGTTGAGCACTGTCAGTTTAAAAGAGGATAGGAATGAAGAACAATGGTATTCTCCTATTGTCACATCCACCTGGAATGCACAAAATGCTTTATAAGGTCACTTTCCTCCACCACTTTCTTTTATATATTTATGTGATCTGGCACTCCTTCATGGCTGTCTAAGTGTTGCACTTCTACTCTTAGTGATAATTTTATGAAAAAATATTATTTAGTAAGGAAAACTACAAGAACTAGTATCTACAAAGTAAGCATTTTTTGGAACCTGAGCCTCTTTGAAATGTTATGGAAGAGTTCCAAAATGCTTGTAGGAAAAAAAAAAAAAATTGTTCATGAACAGACCAACTTGAAAGCTGCAGGCAAAACAGTGCTACTCATATGACATGATACATAAACTATAGATCATGCTTCCTGTATTGCTCAAAATCTATGAAATATCTCAAAGCTAGAAAGGAGAGGTGGCAACAACTCAGGTGAGGAAGAACTTAAGTAATGAAAATCTGACATTTTCCAATTTCAATTAAATGGCTTTACTAGATTCAAAGGCAGTTTAATAGGGCTTGGACAGAATTAAAGCATTACTATGAAAGGTCACTGATGGATAATTGATTTGAGTCTGTATATAAGGTTGCTGGATAAGAGCCGCATTATTTAGGATCTCCATGGAGAAGAATGAAAGAAAGCCTACTTTCCTCAATTGACTTTAGCAGGTTCAGCTGGAATATTTTACTGTTGAAAGTTTCCTTACAGTTAGTGAAAAAAAATTCATCTTTAAAGATGAAAATAAAAGGGAAAAGTTTTATTTTAAAAATCCTAAAGAAGATTCATGAATACAAACAGATAAGATACATTCAAAGGAATCTTGTGAAATTCTTGAAAAGTAGAAACATCTAGGTAGGAAGAAACCATTTAAGAAGAAAGTACTTGATTAATAAAATAAATGAATAATACAGGTGACTGATAATCCTTAAATACACTTGATAGATGCATTGCCCTGAAGAGGAACAAGGCACTGAATCCAGAACCATAGATATTCGGGGGAAAATACCCTGTCAGAAAAATATGTGTAGCTACTAAATGGGGTGCTATTTTTGACCTAAAAGCTACATATGTAGGTATATTAACAAGAGGAAAGAAAGTAATAATTGGTAGTTGTGGAGGAAAAGCTTCAAAAAAAGAATAATTAAACTGAATATCAAAGCAATCTTCCTGAGAGGATGAATTTTAGATTACTCAATAGATTTAAGGGAAATTAGTCAAACTCATGTGACTAATCTGTGAATACTAACATGAACACAAAATATCACAAAAAATTTTGAACTGGTAGTTAAATAAAGAAGATAACCATTTGAGTCATTTTCATCTCTAGGTTTTTTTTTTTTTTTTTGATCATATAGCTCACAGTAACAAAAATTAGAAATCCAAAATATACATGGTGGAAAGGAGACTAATACAGTTTACACATTTTATAATTTTTAGAATTTTACTTGTTCTCATAACCTAGAAAATGTGCTTCTTCAGGGATGTGTTCTTAAAGAAAAACAAATGTACCTTTTCTTGATTCTTTCCTTTTGGTTTCTTTTGGAGTATAATTCCATTCTCTTGGAATGCTCTCACGCAGACATTCAAGAACACTGTGCTTGTTTAGGCTTGTCTCACAGTTTCTCCAAGAGCTCAGCACAGATATTATCTGCTGCACAATGTCCTTGACGGCGTCAGTCAGTGCCAGTCTCAGGCATCGGATGACCTCTACCTCAGACTCCATGCACGTTGAGACTTTAAAATCAGACAGCATATTACAGTTAGCAGAATCTGGAAATATTCTGTGCCCTGTTCAGCTGGGAATTCAGCTTCTCAATAATCTAGTTTAAAGCTAGAGGAAAAGAAGGCTGCTTTTAGCCTAGAAATCATGTAATTGATAAACAGTCCATAGACATTTGAAAAAAATAAGTTACTGCTTGGTAATAAAGGGAATGGTAGTTAAAATAACAGTGAATACCAGCATTTGCTGGTACTTTGGGGACTCTACTGGTGGATATATAAATTGTATGACCTTCTTAGATGACAGCTTGACAATAATAGTAAAAGCTTTAACACTTTACTTACCTTTTAACACATTTATTCCTTCTCTGGAACTTTATCCTAAGAAATTAATTATGATTATATAAATAATATACAGAAAAATTGGGAAATAATACAAATGTCCAATAACTGGGGATTTGTTTAATTAGCTTAGGTATATCCATCTTCACAGTAAAGCCATTTATTGATTAGTTAAAAAAAAAAAAAGCAGGTTAACAATGAGATATCACCTCACACCAGTCAGAATGGCCATCATCAACAAATCTAGAAACAATAAATGCTGGAGAAGGTGTGGAGAAAAGGGACCCCTCCTGCACTGTTGATGGGAATATAAATTGATACAGCCACTATGGAGAACAGTATGGAGGTTCCTTAAAAAACTAAAAATAGAACTACCACACAACTCAGCAATCCTACTACTGGGCATACACTCTGAGAAAACCATAATTCAAATATACACATGTACCCCAATGTTCATTGCAGCACCACTTACAATAGCCAGGATATGGAAGCAACCTAAATGTCCATTAACAAATGAATGGATAAAGAAGATGTGACACATATATACAATGGAATATTACTCAGCCATAAAAAGGAACAAAATTGAGTTATTTGTAATGAGGTGGATGGACCTAGAGTCTGTCATACAGAGTGAACTAAGTCAGAAAGAGAAAATCAAATACCATATGCTAACACACATATATGGAATCTAAAAAAACAGTACTGATGAACCTAGTGGCAGGGCAGGAATAAAGATGCACACATAGAGAATGGACTTGAGGACACAGGAGGGGGAAGGGGAAGCTGGGACGAAATAAGAGAGTAGCACTGACATATATACACTATCAAATGTAAAATGGATGGCTAGTGGGAAGCTGTTGCATAACACAGGGAGATCAGCTTGATGCTTTGTGACAACCTAGAGGGGTGGCATAGGGAGGGTGGGAGGGCAGCTCAAGAGGGAGGGGATATGGCAATATATGTATATTTATAGCTGATTCACTTTGTTGTACAGCAGAAACTAACACAACATTGTAATGCAATTATACTCCAAAAAAAGATATTAAAAAACAAAAAAAGTGGGATGAATCTAAAGTAAAAACATTGAAATAAAAAGCTCACTCTTAAAAAAAAAGAGCAGGTTAGAAAAGAGTATGAGATACCGGTCCGGGAGGATCCCACATGCCGCGGAGTGGCTGGGCCCGTGAGCCGTGGCCGCTGAGCCTGTGTGTCCGGAGCCTGTGCTCCGCAACGGGAGAGACCACGACAGTGAGAGGCCCGCATACCGCAAAAAACAAAAACAAAAACAAAAACATATCTACATACATATATAAAAGAATTAAAAGATGTACTCTAAAAGGTTAATAATAGTGATTATCAATGACTAATGAGATTTCAGGTGATTGTCCTCTTCCTTTCCTTCTTCTTCTTTTACTTTTTCTCCCTCCCTCCCTCCTTTCTTTCTCCCTTTCTTCCTTCCCTTCTTTCCAATAATAAGTATTACCTGCAATGATTATGTATTACTTGTGTGATAAATGCAATAAAAGTTTTTGTTTGTGTTTTTAAAATGACTGGGAAGTCCAGGGACCATCACTTGAATCAATAGAGAAGAGCACCTATATGATATTTTTGCCCTCAAATTTCAAGGTGATATTTCTCAAATGACAACCCATTGTTAAAACCACCATAGTGCTAAAACTAAGAGCTGGTTTTTTGAAAATATAAACAAAATTGACAAACCTTTAGCCAGACTCATCGAGAAAAAAAGAGAGAGGGTCCAAATCAATAAAATCAGAAATGAAAAAGAAGTTATGTCTGACACCACAGAAATACAAAAGATCATAAGAGACTACAACTATATGCCAATAAAATGGACAACCTAGAAGAAATGAACAAATTACTAGATACGTACAATATCCCAAGACTGAACCAGGAAGAAATAGAAAATATGAACAGACCAATTACCAGTAATGATATTGAATCAGTAATTTAAAAAAAACTCCCAACAAACAAAAGTCCAGGAACAGATGGCTTCACAGGTGAATTCTACCAGATATTTATCCTTCTCAAACTATTCCAAAAAATTCTAGAGGAGGGAAAACTTCCAAACTCATTCTACAAGGCCAGCATCACCATGATACCAAAACTAGACAAAGATATCACAAAAAAAGAAAATTACAGGCCAATATCACTGATGGACATAGATGCAAAAACCCTGAACAAAATGTTAGCAAACTGAATCCAACAATACATTAAAAGGATCATATACCATATCAAGTGGGATTTATCCCAGGGATGCAAGAATTTTTCAATATCTGCAAATCAATCAATGTGATATACCACATTAATAAATCAAAGAATAAAAACCATATGATCATCTTAAAAGATGCAGAAAAAGCTTTTGATAAAATTCAACATCCATTTATGATAAAAACTCTCCAGAAAGCAGGCATAGAGGGAACATACCTCAACATAATAAAAACCATGTATGACAAACCTACAGCTAACATCATACTCAACGATTAAAAGCTGAAAGCACTTTCTCTAACATCAGGAACAAGACAAGGATGCCCAAAGAGGTACAAACTACTATGTATAAGATAAATAAGGTACAAGGATATATTGTACAACACAGGGAAGATAGCCAATATTTTATAATAACCATAAATGGAATATAACCTTTAAAAACTGTGAATCACTATGTTGTACACCTGAACCTTGTATAATATTGTACATCAACTATACCTCAATTAAAAAAAAAAAACATCATGGTGAAGAGGATCTTGGTGATATCAAATGTTGAGAGTTTTATTTTTTAGCATGACATAATCATCAGTTAGGTAAACTTGTTGCTCTTTATATGAATGGTGGACGGTGTAGCTGTCTGTCTTTTTAATGATGTTTCAAGACTTTAATTCATTGAAGGACATAAAGAAGCCTTCTTCCTGTATCAGTAATTAACATTCATTTGGGTTGAACTCTTTGGAGTCATGGATTAAATGCATCTCAGATATCTAAAAATTCTAGAAAGCCAGGAATTCCTCTATTTCCTTTTGTTAAAAGGGTATATTTATTCCTTTTAAAATAAAATCAAGGAATTGAAAATGATAAAATAATAGACTTATCTCAAAGAATTATTTTACAATTACATGAATTAATTTGTGTAAAGTAACTACCATATAGTAGGCACTTATGTAAGTATGTGCTATTATTATTATTACCTAAGATAAGAGTTTTCTGGAAAAATTACAATTTCTGGAAAAATTACAATTGTACAGTGTTGTGGTTCCCAGCGTTCTCTTGATGCAGGATTCTGAAACATCTTGAGCACTAGATACTACTACAGGGAAGATTAATCAATACCCACAGATGCCTATGGTCGAGATAAGAAAGAAGAAATGGAGAACAGAGAAAAGAAAGTGGCAGGATATTCTGGTTTCTGGCTCTGCATACAATGAGCTTGGATGTATCTACTTTATTCTAACAGCAAGTAAAAAACTGAACAGATAAAAAAAATCAACGACTCTTCCTGGATCTGTAAAAGAGGTGAGGACACAAGGCAAACCACAGCCCCCCAGACTGGAAAGACAGACAGGCAAATACAGCAAGGCACAGCTTACTGGAGTAGAGACTCACAAGCAGAAACTATCCTGGGAACCAGAACCAATGTAGGAAAATCTCCACTGTAACTGATCAATTGCTGGAGGCTCAGTGTAGACAAGTCTGAGAGTTAAAACTCTAGGGAGACCCTCTCATGGGGGAGCTGTTACACTCTGTGAGTTTTACCTCCAGGAACTTGACTAGGTTTCCACAGTAGATATCAGAGAAAAATCCTCTAGTGCTTCTAGCAATAGGAGGGAAAAAGAAACATTTGGAAATATGCCAGCACACCCTGTTTTTCTTAAGGCCTGCCCTTAGGAGAAACTACTAAAACAGAGCCTAACTCACTAGGCATATTCTCAGAGCCTAACTGTCCTAGGACAGGAGAAATACTCAGCTCCAGCCCACTCTAACCATACTCTCAGACCTAAGGAAGGGGTAAGAAAAAAACTGAAATGCTTGTTAAGTACACCACAGAGGCATAGGCTCACTAAAAGACTGAGATCTAAACATAGACCTATAAAATGCTTCCCCTCCTTTACACCTCTCCACCACTTAGTAAAGGCCTATTTACAGCAGTTCTTTTTACTCAGAACATCATGTCCAGCTTTCAAGAAAACAATTACAAGACAAACTAAAAGTCAAAACATACAATTTGAAAAAACAGAGCGAGCATCAGAAACAGACATGGCAAAGATATTAGAATTGTCAGACTGGGAGTTTAAAACAGCTGTGATTAATATGTAAAGGACTCTAATGAATAAAGTAGATAGCATGCAAGAACAAACGGGCAATGTAAGTAGAGAGATGGATACTGAGAAAGAAACAGAAAGAAACACTAGCAATCAAAAACACTGTAACAAATGAAGAATGCCTTTTCTGGGCTTATTAGTAGAAGGGGAATGGCTGAGGAAAGAATCTCTGAGCTTGAGGATGTCTCAGTAGGAACTTCTAAAACTGAAAAGCAAAGAGAACAAAGACTGAAAAAAAACAACCCCCACAACCAGAAGAGAATATCCAAGGAGTATGGGACAACTATAAAGGTGTAACGTACTTGTAAAGGGAATACAAGGAGAAGACAGAAGGGACAGAAG